GAAAACTTAATGTCTCGTTTTGTTGGTGGAACTTACGGTTGACGGACATCAGGAGGTCATCTGCAACCTAGGCAAGAGTCAGGGACTCACGCAGAGACTCTTCTGGGTTGCTAGTACACTTCACAGGCCAGCATGAATTTTCTAACTGCTTTATAATGCAAATTTTCAAGGGGTAAACATAGCATCAAATTTCATTTTCAGTTGTTTTTTTTTTTAATCAGTCAGTTGAGCTGTAAAACCCAGATGCTGTCTGCCTGGTAAGTAAAAACCCCCTGACATGGTTTGTAAAAGGCACTGGCATGATCCTCGTCCTGGCTGGACCCCCCACAAAAGTCCCCCTGAACTCAGTAGGGGAAGCAGTTTCCCTCTCCTCCCCCAGATCTGTGTGCAGGGGATTGCTGCTGCAGAGTGGCCACTGTGTATTTCCCCGATGAGGACTACACCTGACTGTAGAATGAAGAGGGCCCCCTCTTCTAGACAAGTACTTTTCATAAACTCTAATTGGAAGATGATGATGCTCGTTTTTCCTTTCCTTCTTAGCCATTGTTTACCACTTTGTCCATTTGAGGTTCATGAGGGAGCTGGCAAGGCAGGATGCACCCATGATGCCAGTCTATGGCAGGGCACACACAGACACAAACCCACTCTCTGGACTGGGGGAGGAAACCAGAGCACCAGCACTTTGTGAGAAGGCCAAGCACAAGGAGACAGTCACATCAGTACCCAGTAAAGAAGTTCTTCTACAATCCTAGACGTTTCTAGTAAATCTGTTCACATGCACAGAATAAGAAAATATATAAGAAGAAAATTGATGAATCCCTTGTAACACTCTTCTGAATACATTAACACCCCACATACTAACCATATCACTAACTGTAATTACAGTGCACCCAGATCAATTTAGATTGCAGTCATTTATATCCACACAATTTCCCGCTGAAAACAGGAAATTGTGTGGATATAAAACAGGCATAAATTGATTTTAAAAATCTGCTACAAAATCATCCGGAGGTATTCTTCACAAAATAAATCAGATTATAAACAAAAGAAGGTAATTTGGCACATTTACAGTAGCTCCTTTGGTTCTTAGTAGCTAGTTGATCTCAGGATCTCACCTGCTGTGTTTTGAAAAAGAACATCAACAACATTCAACTAAATGGCTGGTCAAGTTGTTATATACCCCTACAAATCTTTGTGTAAAGAAGTGCCTCCCGTACTCAGCACTGAATCCACTTTCCATCATCCATCATCCCCACATGTGTCCTTTAGTTCATGAAACACTTTTCCTTCTGAAGACTGCTGGGCTTACTTTGTCGGTGCCTTTGAGGATTGTAAATTCTTGTATCAGGTCCCTCGTAGTCTTCTCTGTTCAAGACTGAACAATGTAATTTCCTCCAGTCCCTCTCTCTTCTCTGGACTGATTCCAGAACAGCAGTGCCTTTTTTTGTAACATGGTGACTGAAATTCTCAGCACTATATTCTTAATATCGTTTTAACATTTAACTTTTAACATATCTCATGATATGCATGCTTCTCCTTTAAGTGTATATACTCATATCCTGTCTGCTTCTCTACATTCTGTGGATAAGGATCAGATAAGGATCATCAGTGAAATAAGAGCCAGAAAACACAAGTGGACACTACAGGGATGCACATTTCAAACTGACAATAGGAAGGACTTCTTCATACAATGGCTTGTGGGTGTCTGAAAGACCCTCTCCATCCCCACAGACGAAATTGATACTCTGGACACTCCAAGAAGCTCTTTAGATCTGCAGTGATTTAAAACACCAAGGCTGCCCAGTTTGTTTGTCTGGGCTCAGATGTCCTTGCAGAGGTCCAGGAATAGCACTGAACCCACCAGATTGGCTGTTACAGACCATGGAGCTCCACTTCAGATTCCTCTACCTCTTTCAATGTTTAATTAAAATGAGAATTTGTATTTGTATTTCATTTTCAATTAAAATATACATCTGTTTCACATCTGTACATGGCCAGGTATTGACGTTCTGAGGTTTCAGAGGACCTGGGTCCTGGGAGGGAGCAGGCAGAGGAGGGGGGTCTGAGACGAGTCCGAGACAGGGGTGGGTGGCGGCTGAGGCTGGGTGTCTGGATGTCTGGGTGAGTGCACCTGCTGGATCTGCCTGGGAGATGAGAGCTTCACATCAAAGGCTTGTCACTCACTCTGCAGAAACACTAGCACACCCTCTTTCCAGCACCAGGCCATCTCTCTATCTCTCATCTCTCCATCTCACAGTGCACTGCCTCACTCCAGCACCAGGCCATATCTCTATCTCTCCATCCCTCCAGCTCTCCAGCTCTCCAGCTCTCAGTGCACTTCCTCACTCCAGCACCAGGCCATCTATTTCTCCATCTCTCTATTCCTCTATCTCTGCAGCTCACAGTGCACTCCTCCTCTGAGCTGGACACTGTAGCCACCCCAGCCAGTCCATATACTCTGGATGTTTCACCCTTGTGTCCGCTGGCTTGCATTTTAGTGAAACTCTTAAGTTTTTACAGTTCACAGAAAGGCGTTAATTTCAGGTTTATCGTACAGATTCACAGGAAACCTGTCAAGCCAGACGTGTTTCTGAAAGACAGAGGCTCGACACAAGTAGGGACAGAACCCAGTGCTGCACAGTTTACCACTGTGGATCTCACAGCAGTGTGCAGAAGTAAGTCGCTCGCTCTGAGTTTTTTTTTTCTTTACGTTTAGAAAACATGGTGAAACTGAATGAAAACATTCTAAAACAAATGATACAGTGGGCAGTAAGAAAAAGACAACAGGGCAAGAACAAGGACAAGAATTCCTGAATGGACAAGATTTCTGTGAACACACTGCTGCTCTGGCCCTGGGACAACAGTCCTCCTGGGGTAAGAGTGTAAAAGTGCCCCAGAAGTACCCTTTAAGGACACTGGTCCTTCCCCGGGGTAAGAGGGTAAAATTGTCCCCCCGCAGAGCCCTTCCAGGACACCAGCCTCATCTCTCTTCTCCAACAGAGACCAGTCCTTTCTCCCAAACAAACATATGCCGATCTAAAGACAAAATATCTTCATCATACCTGCTCAGACACACACTCAGCTTGATGTCCTTACTGGGGAGGTGGTACTGAAATGAAATTCTTTTGTTGTTTCTGTATGAAAAGAAGTAAATATTTCTTATCAAGGTTAACATTATAATAACTCATCACACCTGACATTGCGTGGCATTAATCATGTTTTATTTACAATTATAATTCATACTTTGACATCTACAACCTAATGACCAAGACTAATTTGTAAAAATGTTTAAATTATGTTAAAGTGTTAAAATGATTAATGACTAGTCTATCACTATGCTGATTCTAAATGTGTATTTCCTATTCTTAAAATGCTTTATATACTGTGCTGTATATATAAAGTGGATTTTAATTTTTAGAAAATTACGTTTATCAATGTGATATTTATTTTTAAATGTTCTCTGTGCAGCTGATGCAGCTGGTGTTAATCTTTAACTGAGTTTATTTTTATTTAAAATAATGTATTTCTTGCTGGTAGAATTGAAATTAATTTCTGATATTTTTATCTTGATTTTTGAAGTATTGTTACATGTAATGTATTTTCTTCATTACTGTTTTTTTTCAGAGTGGTTAAACTTTTTAATAAACATTATTTTTCATATAAATCTATCCATCAAGTAATTTAAGGTGCAGACTTTTGCCCGCTCTTTGCTAAGCGAAAGAAAATTCATTTCCTGTTGCGAATTGAACCAAGGGTGGTGCAGAATTAGAAGAGTAAAGGTTTTCCGTAAATAATATTTTTATCTTTAAAAAAGCCACACATGACTGGTGTACAGGGACGCAGCTAGCTGAAAAACAATAATAAATGTTTTTAAGACTGTGTGACAAAAATCGCTTGGTGGTTTAGTGTTAGTTATTAAAGAAAACATTCTTTGCTTCATTATTTTCTAACGTTACATACATTTAATTAATCACAGGACAAGAAGGAAAAGAACACAAATTAACAAGAAACCACTCCTTTTGGATATTTCTCAATGTGAAAGAATTGTTGCTGAGATTAATGAAGATTCGTTTTGATAGTTTAAAATTATCTGAATAATGTACATTTAATAAAATCACACAAGAAATCGATACATTTAATCGGTTTTAAAATCTTTAATCTTTAAATCTTTAATCTAAAATCTTTTTTAAAATGCTCTTTCAGACAACCTTTATAGTTACTCCCTTTCGCTGTTTAGACAAATCTATCACTATTAATAATGAAAATAATGACAGCAAAATAGCGACCTTAAGCACAATCAAACTTATACACCTTAATTAAAATAAACTATTTCTTTTTCGTGTTAAACATTACTTTTAAAACCGTCTTACAATGTATTTTAAAAATGAAATTGCAGAATGAAGTTCAATATAAAATTTTGTGTAGCAATTTACACTCGCGTTTAAATGTTAACGTTTTTTTCTCATTATGTGTAACAGGTGTGTCTAAAAAGCAGCATATACATTTAACTATTAACTATTCACTAATAAAAACATTAATATTTTATTATTGCTCTTGGCAAGGGTTTGCAGATCATTTTTCTCTATAATATTTTTGTTTTAGCTGCGCTTTTTAACTGCGCACAGGATAATTGTGGTTAACGAAGTAATAGTTTTGTATTTTTAGATTTTTTGGGATTGTGATGGAAAAGAAAAACTGCTCAGTGCGATCTCCTTCACTCGTTCGGGGGCAGATGCTGGAGCCCACAGCGCCGACAACCTGAAGTTCGTTATAGCCAATGTTGTATGCGATGTCCGTACTGTAAATTTCCAGTATGTCCATTCATCGTCCAATTCGGGGTCACAGGGAGCCGGGGCCTATCCCGGCAAGCAACAGGCGCGAGACGCCGGGTGTCCACTATGTTTTTACTATAATTTGTCGGTCGTAGTATTAAAACTCTTTGAATCTGAATTTGTGAGCATGAAGGTTCGGCACAACTGGGACAACCTGAGACGACGTTTCCTCTCAAAATACAAGTAGGCGCTGCTTACTCCGAACAAAACCTCCAGCAATAATCATCATCATCATCATCATCGCCGTCGAAGTCTCTAACTTCAAATGACAGTTTTTCGAATTGAAAAATACCTGAGCGTATTTAAATTCATACGCTCACAATTATGGATCTGATGGAAACTCTGAGGAAAACTCTGATGAATAAAAAGCTCCCATTATACTTTAAATGTGTGTTCGTTGCGTTTGATATTGTAACATTATATCTAATGTCAATCTTGGGGATTTTAGAACCGAATATTTGAAAAAAAATGACCATTTGAATATTAATCTCAGGGTGATAGGATCTCGTTGTTATTCTCGTTTCAATTCACCTTTTCGAAAATATGTCTTTAAAAATAGAAAGAGGATACCTGTGGAGCGCTTGATACGCTCGACTCGACACACTGACAGAAAAGCTAAAGCTGTGCGGCTAAAGTTACTCATCAGAAGGATCCCTGAGTGAGACCGCGCAAGGTGTTGCTCTGTGCCTGGCGACTTCTCTGTTGCTGCGTCCCGCCCTCAGTCTCCCCTGCGCTCTCCCTGTGCCGAATCATGAATGAAACGAAGCGCCCCTGCCTTGTCTGTCATTGGTGGTGAGGCATCTTTGAGCACGCCCAGTCCTGGGGATGCGAATTTCGGATTGGTTTACTCTCAGCTTCGTACTATTTGCACCCGGCCGTCAGCCTCCTGCGCTCGCAGGGGATATAAAAACCGGATTCCTGCGCGGTCCGCTTGGAATTTATTGCTGCTGTTGCTAACTTGAAGAGTAAACACAGCCCGAGAGGAAACGTTCATTTTGTGCCATAGCAGGGCTGCCTGTGGGGATTATGAACTCCATTGACTCGCAAGCCCACCACAGTTCACCAGCACCAAGCCCGCACAATCCTCACCTCAAGAGCACCCAGGAAGCCCCTGAAATGGCTGTGTACTGCGACAATTTCAGCATGTACCACCAGCAGAGCTTGCACAGCACGCAGAGACCCGGTGGCTACGGACTGGGGGACTACGCGCCGTCTTCCAACCCCTACCTGTGGCTCAACGGGCCTGGGGTGAACTCGTCCACTTCATACCTCCATGGGAACAACTCAGCTTCCTTCATGCCGCCTTCGTACGGCTCCCAGCGACAGTTCCTGCCGAACTCGTCGGGATTCGGGGGAGCCGATCTGGGTTGGCTGTCCATAGCCAGCCAGGAGGAGCTGCTGAAGCTGGTGAGACCCCCTTACTCCTACTCGGCCCTGATCGCGATGGCCATACAGAACGCTCCGGAGAAGAAGTTGACTCTTAGCCAGATCTACCAGTACGTGGCGGACAACTTCCCCTTCTACAAGAAGAGTAAAGCGGGCTGGCAGAACTCCATCCGCCACAACCTCTCGCTGAACGACTGCTTCAAGAAGGTCCCCCGCGACGAGGACGATCCAGGTGGGTCAAAGTCCGGTCCACTTATACACGTTCGGTTCTGAGAATGGCCCATATTATTGTCAGTCGTGTCATATTATTATATGTCCATGTTATGTATATCATATTATTATAGGCCCATATTATTGTCAGTCAGAGTCAACAATCTTCAGTTCACACCTTTTTTCAAACATACATAGCCTAACATTAAATATCAATCCAACAGGTGAAAAAAGAGTCATCTCAGACAGAATCTCACGCCTTACAGTGGCCTTCAATAGACAGCTACATGATGCATAACGTTTATTAACCAGCGATATCAACTAATCACAATTAATTTTATCAGGGCAAAAAAACATTTTTGTACAGCCACAAGCCGCAACTGATAAACGCATAAGACACGCCGTGGAATATTCAGGACTACAGATTCAAACCAGAAAACCCAATCTGATACAATACAAATAAACATGCCGTGTACTTAACATAATAGGTCTTAAACTTCCTTTCTAGAAATAAAACTATGTACAACATTAAACAATATTAGCAACACTTTTTGTAAACATCAGGTGTTAAGCATAACAAGAAAACGTCGACGTGTTTAAATAAAGAAGAGATATGCAGTATATAAAGATGCGAAGGTACCTCAACTACAGGCTCCACTTATGTATTATTCTTCTAAATATTAATACACACGTAATCACCATTAAAATACACAGAGTGAGACAAAACTAACAACCGAATAAATGGTATTGATCCCAATACTTACGTATTGCATCCCTAGTATGTTTCTTACAAATACTATGTCAATTCACCTCGCGTGGCTCAATATTATTCACACGCCATATCAGCTGAGAAAGCTCCATTCACTTTACTTCACTTCATTGTCTTTAAAATGCTTGGACTGGCTTGTCCAAGGACGACGAGCTGATTTTGTTCAACTAAAAAGAGTACTGCTTTCCTTTACTTCTTTACAATATCTTAAACCAAAGCCAAACACAGCTTCACTGAAGTGCTAACCCAACCCTTTGATCAGCCTTCTAAAAGACAAACGGTGACTTCAGACCTGCACAGAAACGAAGAAAACCAGTTTTCTGCGAGCAGGCGGGGAAGCGGCGGTGAGATAGAAACTGCTGTCTTAGACAGTTGGATTCCTCGCCCCGTTTGCGCACTTGACGCGTGAGAATGAAAAGCGCGAGGGGTCAGAGCACCGACCTTCAAGAGGTGTAATAAATAGCCTAAGCACTGCGGGCTCTGGAAAACTCATGGAGAGAAATTCATGAAGAGACCCATTCTGCGTTCAGTTCTGTTCCTGGCCCGATCAGGAGCAGCTCGGGCCTAATCACGCGCACTCTATATAGTATTTACAGGTTTTGTCATTTCAAATCGCGTTTCGCGATCAAATTCTTCCTGATGTCAGACTTCTGATGTGGGCTTCTTTGACAGTCTTACACCACGCCGCACAATCAGAAGGTGTCTTATTTTGGGAGTTTTTGTGATTTCAGTAACAATCTATTTTGTAGATTAATTGATAACATATCTAATAGTGCGTATCTAAAACTTAAAACGTAATTGCCGTTGTTGCCGAACTTCTTTGAGCGTCGGAACTAAATCACTCCACCCGTGCTGAAGCAGCACTTTTTATTTAGCGCTGGAGATTTTGTCATTAAGGCTTCCACATTGTCACTCCCTTGACTAAACATTTACTTAATACATACTTTTGTGAGATTTTTTGAAGAGGCGAAAATGGGGCAATTATTCTCTAGTTTAAATCTGAATGTTTTTGGTGGTTTAACATTTGGGATGATAATTGTTTGGATTTAAATGGTTACTCTTTTATGTTACAGTACCTTGGTTTGGAAAACGGTGCATTTTGGAATGTGATGTTTATGTACATGATGACTGTAACTAGTGTATATCTTAGTGTTATTTTAATGTGCCCATTTAGAAAGTGAGTTGTTACGAACTGTCAGATGGAGCTTAGCAGTGTATTACAATGAAATTGCGTATGGAAATTGGTATACTGTAGATGTAAATGTAAACGTCGAATTACGATGTTTCTGTGTCTTTACAGGAAAGGGTAACTACTGGACCTTGGATCCCAACTGTGAAAAGATGTTTGATAACGGGAACTTCCGCAGGAAGAGGAAGCGCAGGTCGGACTCGAGTAGTGGGGCTCCTGCTAACGCCAAACCTGACGAGAGCCGATCGAACCCAACCGTCAAGCCAGCCGACAGCCCGACGCTCCTGGAGCCTTCCTCCCCGGAGCTAGACACCGCCACAGAGGATCACAAGAGCTCCTCTCCTCCCGGCCTGCCCTCTGCCCCCTGCTTCAACAGCTTCTTCAGTAGCATGACGGGCCTCGGCTCCGGCTCTGTGAACAGGCAGGGGTCCCTTGGACTGGTGAACGAGTTGTCCGCCAGGAACATCTCGGCTCTGAGTCCGTACCCTGCCAACTCCCAGCAGGAAAGCGGCAGCGCTGAGCTGACAGACAGCCTGCAGCTTGGCCGCAGCGTCTACTACAACTCATTCAGCAGCGGCCAGGGCAACCAGTTCAATGGCCACTTCTACAACAGTTTCAGCGTGAACAGTCTCATATACCCCAGGGAGGGCACTGAGGTGTAAGGGCAGCTGAAGCCGGAGTGGAGTGTCTTACAAAAATGTTGTTCTCCCCTGGACAGGGATGTTCGCTAGTGGACCAGGGCCGGGGACTGAGTTCGGGTTCCTCTATCATCAGGCACTGACAGGCGATACCTAAGCGCCCTTTTACCTTCTTTAAAGAGAACATGCACGAGTGGAACCGTGACTGTACTAACTGTGCACCAGAACCGCTCTTTTGCGTTAGCTCTTCCAAGGAACTCGACGCGATTCCGTGAAGCAGCGATCCCCCCCACACACACACACACCTCCCCCACTTCCCCGCACCTCCTTTACTTCAGCCGTCGTGTTGTGACCTACAACATGGATGAACCAAGGCAAAACAGTCGGAAACGGTGCACTTGTAGCGTCCGTGCCCTTACATTGTAAAGGAATATTAAACCTTGATGCACATAGACGTGAACTGTCCTGCCTGCTTGGTGGACTTCGGTGTTTCAGTCGGCCGAGGGATCTGTGCCCTTAGCGGGACCCGGATAGGACGGCTGTTCTGGGGAAGATGTGCCTTTCAAGCCTTGTCTTTTAAATTCTGACTTCTGTGGACAAGTCTAGAATTCCAGTCTGCCAAAGCAAAACACACAGTAGCCCGTCACCGTCTTCCTGCAACGTATTTTTTAAAGTATTTGTAGTACAGCAAACGGGTTTTATATCACGTTTTACACCTGTTTCTAGTTTGATACTCGTGTAAATATAAATATATATTTTGTATTTTTTATTTTTGTAAATTATGCTTCTAAATTTGTATTATTTATATAAAATGTATAGCGGTGTACAAATGTAAGGTTTTCCTAAGTAGTTTTATAGGCAAAATGGTTTTAAAAAGTTCCGTATCTAAAGATGTAGTAATAAAGGAAGAACAGAGCGTGAAACTCGATTGCACTGTTTTTTCAATTGTGTAGCCAAGCATCTCAAATTGTGTGACAAAGTGTATCCGAGAAGTGTTGCTGAACTAGACCCAACGCGTTGCAGTGTGAAAGCCGAGCTGCTGATCAGATCTGGCGCCAGAACTGGCGGAGATTTACCGGCGGTGACGTCTTGACAGCTTTAGGAAGCCTGAACTAGCGGCGCACGCCTGTTTGCTTGAAACCTCTTCATTATACAATCTTTTATTGTCTCAGCCAAATAAATGTCATCTATGGTTGCTCAGACTAATTGAAGAGGTTAGTAAACAGAATGAGAAAAGCCAAGTCAAAGGATGTCTGTGCATGTTGTATTTTTTTAATTAAAAATAATTTACAGTGAACAACCTTACAGAGACAATAGGGGATTCTTACGGCTGTGCTGTTCATTTCAGTGGGCTCTGGATAACATAACGGAGAAAAGAAGAGATAACAAGCACGATCGCTATAATTTCACGCAACAGGCACTCTAACCGGTATTGAGAACAATGCCAGTCAAGTGAAGACATGAGAAGCATTACATAAAATGACAACATGTAGTATAAAAGAGAGAATTTAATCATTTTCATATGATATCATAGTTTGTTCCATATTCCACTTACATGCACGTTTTGCAAAGGCGGCAAACCTGGGCGGCTGTGGGTTTGCAGGTTCGGAGCCCAGTGGAGCGCTGCTGCTGTGCCCTCAAGCGAGGTGCACTTGCTGCACTAAAACGCCGCACACGCGTGAAGGCAGAGCACGTTTCAACGGGAAACAAATCCGTCACAATAATGGAAGAAATCCGCCACCTCCAAGGGGGGGAGGAGGCGTCACTGAAACGCCTCTAAGGAACGTGGATCAAAGGCTGTTCATTCAAGACAATTTGTAGAAAAATAAGCGGTTATAAAGAACACGGCTAAAAGAAAGTTAATCTAAATGTTAAAAGAGATAAAATAATGGGAATGTTATGATAGTTGTTCTAATCTCTTATATTTATAAAGCGGTTACGAAGCGCTTTCCAATTATTTGTTTGCTTCCTCATGAAGTATTTGAGTAGAATTCGAAAAAGCTTCTTGGGTAAAGTACAACGGTGATTGCAGAGTCGTGGTCTAGTACAGTACATATGAAGTGTGGAAATCCATTTCTGACCAGACATACAGTACAATACAGGACTAGACATACAGTATACGTGGGAGACAGCTGGGCCTGTCTGCCGAACACCGAGCAGCTCCTGTGGGCTGTGGGGTTTAATCTGCAGAAACATAAAATAAATACAAACCCAGAGGGAAAAAATGAGGCCCTTATACATAAAACAATTCACATTGGTCAATAAACTAAAGACAGTCGCCGTGCCAAACTATAATGGCAGACATTCAATAAGATTTGGAACAGCTGGGATAAGACTCATCAATACGCGGATTAAAGCAATGTATTTATTTATGTCTAAATTCTGATTTCGTTTTTATTTCAATATGTAGACCCTGATACAGAAAACAAAACACGCTTCATTCTGCTGTTCCAATGACGTCTTCCAATAGCATGTGATAAGGGGAGCGAGAGAGCGCTTTCGCCTCACTCGGGCAGTGCGGTGCACACCTGGGCCTGGAGCAGGACACAGGCCACCGGGAGCGTGTGGACTGTAAGAGCCAGGGTCTGTTAGACACTAATGTGTCTTCAGCCAGGCCTGTGTAGACAACGGCGAACGTCGTCGAAGTCGTAGATCACAAATCCTACGAACCGACGAAGTTACAAACGCGAGGACAATAAATGATCCAGCTAATTGATTTTAGGATCTCATCCAGTCTCCTAGGGGGTTATGATTTTCACCGTTTTAAGCAGTTTTTTGATCCGTTTTTAATCCACAGTTACGACCCTCCCTTTTTGTATGAACAAATAAAGTTAAGAAATACATAATTTATAAGAATATATATAAATTAAAAAAGACGTGTATATTTAATTTGTTCTGCATTAAAAAATACAAATCTATACTGCTGTTTAAAAGTTGAGTGCTCATAAAATTCATACATTTTATTTTGTTATGAATTCCTGTTTTAGACTAATTAATTTCGATTTCCAGACTAATAATCCAAAAAGCAAATGAATAAATAATACAGTTTTTTTCCGACATATGCGTTAAGGTCTTCACTGTCCAAATCATTATCACAGAGTTTGACAGGGGATATTTTATTACAAACTATTAAGAATTTTCTATAGATTGTTTACGTAGTATTTCGGTCTAAAATAATTTCGTTAATTAAAACCATTATTCCATTCTTGTTAAAATTGTAATTTTTGATTGAAATAAATTATAATGTTTTTTTTCAGAATGTAACCTTTTTCATCTAAAGAAGAATAAAATATGCGCAATTAGAAGACTTGTATTTCATTGAAAAAAAAGAAAAAAAAATACTGAAGAGTAGCGAGGTGTACGTGAGAGTAGGGTGTGTTTGGACTCACACAATACAGCATCTTCATCACTTCCCCTGGATGACTACACACTCGACTGAGAGAATCTAGCATCGATAGGTCTCCATGTCCAAAACGTAACGAGCGAGCAGCAGAGGGGCAAAGACATTAATTGGAAAGTGGAGTAGAAAGCGCAAAACAGTAGTTTCTCCCCCGTCACGCGTTCGCAGAAGCGTTTTAAATCCCCAGGAAGCGGGCCCGCGGGAGGAACCCGACTCTCCTCCGGTGCCATGGGCTGCTTCAGTGATTAAAGAGAGATGTCCTTGTCTCCCAGGCCGTTAGGACTACCAGAGGCCGATTGAAGATAGCGATCATGCCTTTAACAACAGTGATTATTCCGTTTTAAATACGTGGCCGCGCGTGTGGGAATATATCGTGTAAAGGCGGGGGTTCAAGGGCGGGAGCTGGAGGGCGGAATGCCGAAGGAGAGCTGAAGGCATTGCTACGTGCAAATTCAAAATGCTTTATTGGCTTGAGTCATCCTACAGCATGCGATCTCATTTCTTAGAAAAGAAAATAACTGACTGTCCTGCAGCAGGAACATAGAGGAATGTCTTAAATGCTATGGAGAAGGTCATTCCAAGCACTCATTTCAAATTCTACAGGGAGACAAGGGCCAAACATCACACAAGAAAATAATCCTCTGAGAAAGCACATCTTCACCCAGAGAGCTTTGACTCTTTGGCAGATTGATAAAGGGAATGTGTTGTGAAAATAGCCTTCTGTGACCTTTATCACAGAGTGGGCTACTGGAGCAACATACATATTCATTCAATTCTGTTTCAGAATATCTTCTGTCTCAACTAGATCTCTATCCAAGGTAATTGCAGTATGTGTTTGTATTGTAATGTACGGTTGATGTTTTGTAATCGTTTATCCACTGTCAGTGAGCGTGCTCACGTGATCTTCCATTTTCCAGCCAGGTTTGATCACCTGATTGGTGGATTGAGCTGACAAACAGGAGTATCTAAGCACTGGCACCCAGGCATAGAGCTCACAGCTGTAATCACAGCCAGTATACAAACTGCAATGGGCCTTACACCTCCCTGCACCTCCCTGTAATCACTCCCTGTGTACAAACTGCTGGTTAGTGGAGGTTCTTCTGACAGCTGTTGTTTTAATAGGGTGTTATTAAACATCAGGCACACGCTTTGAAACACCCCATCTCACCCAGAAAATACAACCATCTGTGCCTTCTTTCAAGACATAAATCCATCTGCGTTATACAATAATAGTAAAGAAACAAAATCTGAGATACCCTGTTCTAATAATTTCAACACATGCGTCACCTACTGTATAACATTCATAGACCAGGTAGGTTATACTGGTGTGTCTAAATGTGTCAATTGCAGTTGCAGATAGTGCAGGGATCAGGAGAGAGCTGTGATGCTTGTAAGTCTGTCTGTCCAGGAGCGGGGTGTCTGCTGGAGACACCCATGACCACTGATTCACATTTCTGTATTTAATAGACTTTCTGAAATGATGAACCACAGGCCTGGAAGCTGCATGTTTTTAAAAAAAATAAAGGCAGAAAACAACACAGACCTATTGAACCCAGAGGAAATCTGCAAAATAAAGAATTTGTTTTTGCCAAAGTATACTTGCAACAGCCTTTTAAGTTTTATTCTGCTGTACTTTCTACATGCACTGTACAAATACACTGAACACAACAATCAATTAATTAGAAATTACACATTCACATACAGTATGAGCAGCACAGTGGTGCAGTTGTTAGCATTACTGCCTTTCAATGCAGGAGACCAGAGTTCAGCTCTGGACCTGGCATGCTGTCTGTAGAGTTTCTAAGTTTGTGTGGTTTTCCTCCAATATCTCTGATTTCCCCCACAGTCCAAAGAAGTAATGCTAGGTAGTTAAGTTGGTTTCTGGGAAATGTGGTCCTAGTAGCTGTGTTTTTGTGTGCCCTGCAATGGACTGGTGTCCCATCCAGGAATAGGGTGCCTGTTGCTTGCTGGGATAGTCCCCTGTAACCCTGTATTGGAGGAAGCAGTTAAAAAATGAATTGATGGATGAATGCATGTACAGTATACATATGCAATATGTGCTCTTTAACTGAGTAGAACTGTAGCTGCTTGTTGAAACAGATCCTTTCTTTAAAAAACTCTGCAGAGGCAAGTGAACCTGACTAATCTAATTAACCAATAAAAGTCAATGTCAAGAGTAAATACAAGCAGCTGGTGCTCTCTGTTTATACAACAAACTGTGTGCTGGACAGGAACTCCTAACCTTCTCCCAGGTCTGAGTACAGCCTACTTCTCACAAGAGCAAAGACTTGTATCAGTCCTGGCACCTCAGATGTGCACTCAGCACCTACCCAGATTAACTGGGTTTGCATTTAACAAATTAATTAATTTGCAGCACTTACGCTGTTTTAATTGTGCTTTCTTTGCTGCAGACAAGCACTTGTTCCTGTGCCAGCCTGGTTTCCTCTCGCAACACTTCTAATTTGCAGTTATATATAATGACAGCCTCTTCGAGGAAAAGAGGATAAAGGCAGCTATTGACAATGAGAGGGTCTGTGTGAAGAGGCTCAGTCTGAGTGCTCCTTAATGAGTATGCACAGTGTTTAATTGCAGAAAGCTACCGGGGAGGTAGTAAACAGTTTCCTTTCACTGAAGCCACCCACCCACATCCACTCATCTGACATCTGCAATGACAGAGCAGCAATGACAGTGAGCAATGTGGACTAGGATACTTTCTTATGAAAGTTAATCACAATGGATTTTCACAATATTGCATTGCTTTAAGTCTACCATGCTCTGACTTGCTATTCCCTGGTTTCTGGCAGTGTCGATCATGCTTTTGCATGCCTTCCTTGGGCTTTCACCACAGGAGACAACAGT